GGGGGGGGGGGGGGGGGGGGGGGGGGACAATTTGTTACATGCAAAACTAAATATATTGTTAGAACCATCTAGCTTACTGTCTGTCGGACAATACATCAAAAAACAATAGTAGTAATTTGAAACATCATAAGGGTACCTTAAATCATTTGCCTGTTACCTGTTTAATTACAAATACATCCCTGGTTTTGCCTGTAACAGATTCACTGGACCAGGAGGAGTCGGTGACATGGCCATGGTCTAAGCCTGCCAATATCTGTCTATGATAGTGTGTATATATGCTGAAATAAATGTATTTGTACATGTACTTGTATGTGTGTGTAAGTGTGTATGAGGTGTGTGAGATGTTTCCTTCATGAGTTACTTCCCCTTAGCTTTGTGTTAATATGAATTATTTTGTGTTAATTTTTAGGTCACCTGAGACAAAGTCTCAAGTGACCTATTGCGGTCGCCTTTTGTCCGTCGTCGTCTGTTGTGCGTCCGCATACAATTTACATTTTCGACTTCTTCTCCAAAACCCCTGAACCAATTTCTATGAAATTTTGCAGGGACCTTCCATGGACAAAGGTCAACAAAAATAGTGGCCGGTTTAGTCCCAAGCCCCCAGGGGCCTGAGGGGCAGGGCCAAAAAGGGTCAAATTGACTAAAATTTCAAAAATCTTCTTCTCAAGACCCAGATATGGTAGAATCAAATACTCTTCATAGATGGAAGGGTCTTAAGGTGCTTTACCAAAATTGTGAATTTCTTGACCCTTGGGCAAAATTTAATATGGTTTATAATGGCAAATGATACTTTGAATATTACATGTTAATAACTTGATTGGAATTATAACCTTGAGTTGACAGTTTGATACTTTGAAAATTTTGAGCCAGCCCTATCCCCAAGGGCTGTAGGGTGGGGCTCAAAGGAGTCAGTGTGCTAAAATTTCATCATTTTCCTTGTTTAGAATCAGAAGTGCTAGTTTCAAATACTTTTTAGTCTGAAATCTGTATACTAGATATTGAATAAGGTGGTTTTATTGTTTTTTGTCACTTTGAATAATATTTCTGTTCATGTTGTAAACAAAATCAACTCTCTGTATAAATATATCAGGTGACCGTTAAGGCCCATGGGCCTCTTGTTTCATTTGCAACATGTCTAAAATATTATGTCTCCTTGTTTATTCCACTTTGGCCATTTGATGGAGAGAATTTATATAGGCTTTGCCTGTTATTCAATCCAATTGACTACGACATCTTGTCAATAAAATTTGATGAAATGAAATACATCCCTGGTTTTGCCTGTAACAGATTCACTGGACCAGGAGGAGTCAGTAACATGGCCATGGTGGATGTTAAGATGGTCACAGGATGGGTACCGGTCACTTCTACATTGGACGAGGTACAAATCAGCACAAACTTTCAGAAAACATTTTCTGAGGAAATTCTTCAAATGTTAGGCAATGGTTAACAAGTACTGTTTGTTTGTGGGACTCTTGAAAATGATTTTATTGATAGGTCAGTAGAATATTAAAAAGTGATATCTAAATTCTCTCAACTTGAAAAAGATAGCATCCTTCTCCTAGTAAATGTTGATCAATACTCGATATTCCATATAACAAAAACAAACTATGTTTTTTCAACTCATAAGTCAAACTTTGCTTACCAAGTTTATGGGGCATGGTATCATTTCTATATGTATGTAAATCTAGTACCGTATTCAAAAAAGGCTACCCCAGGGCAATATATGCCTGAATTCATACTACATGTAACCTCACTGCGTTGGAGGATGAAGGACAAACTAATGGCATATTTTTGGCTGTATCATATATGAACTTAAAAAAAAATCACAGCAAAGGGAGGTAATCTACTGTTTTATTGCACAAGTTTTTATTTAGGAGTAAATGAAGGTAATTTGAGGCACCAACGCACAGGTCCTGCTTTAGTGGAAAATGCTAAAAGAAAATGATGAGGAAGTACATATTTGTTTATTCAATGAGTTAAATGTGAAGATTGCAACAATAACATGGCTGTACAATTTTCACAAATATCTTTCAAATCATGAATTTTTTTTTCATCTTAGCTTGTGAATGATCAGTCTTTGGGGATTCAGAGATATGAAGTGGATGGCAACCTGGTACACATCTACTTTGACAAGGTATTTATCTAACTGTCATAGAGGTAATTATTTCCCTCTGTTAGGGGTCAAACCCAGGACCTCTGTTTTACTTGTTTTGTGCTCTACTGATTGAGCTAAAGAGAAATTCTCCCTAGCCACGTCAGTAGCAAGCTTCAGCGGCTAGTATTTTTTTCTAGACTGACATTAAAATAACTATTTGATCAGTTATGACGCAGCTCCTATTCTTAATTAGGGCCCCGTATCAGAGATACGGATGCCCTATAGTAATCACCTTGTCTGTCTGTCTGTCTGTCAAGGTCAAGGTCATCGGGTCAGGGGTCAAGGTCAAATTTTGTAGCTTTTCACTGGTGAACATTTCGCTATGACATTATGAAGCAAAGTTGTTCGGAATAAAGTCGAGGTCATAGGTCAAGGTCATTAGAATCAAATGTCAAGGTCAAATTTGGCATCTTTTCACTGATGAACATTTTGTTATGACATGATGAAGCAAAGTTGATCAGAATTAAACAAGGAGTCAACTGACCAAAGGTCCAGGTCATTGGGTCAAAGGTCAAGGTTAAATTTTGTATCTTTTCACTGGTGAACACTTCGCTATGACACTTTAAAGCAATGTTGCTCAGAATTAAACAAGGAGTCAATTGACCAAAGGTCAAGGTCATTGGGTCAAAGATGAAGGTTAAATTTTGTACTTTTTCCCTGATGAACATTTTGTTTTGACATTATGAAGCAATGTTGTTCAGAACTTAACACAGAGTCAACTGACCTTAGGGCCAGGTTACGCGGTCCAAAGGATCAAGGTCAAGTTTTGTATTTTTCACTGAAGAACATTTTGTTATGATATTAAGAAGCAAAGTTGGTCGGAATTAAAGAATAAGTCAACTGACCAAAGATCAGGGTCATTGGTTTAATGGTTAAGGTCATTTGGGTCCAAAGGTCAAAGACAAAGTGGATCTCTGACTTTGACCCTGGCTCTTGATGGAGGAGGTATATAAGGTGAAATAAAACAAATCAAAGCTAACAAATGAGTATTGCACCGGTATTTACATTTCTGTTAGCCCAGCAAATATGGAGGTGGAAGGAAACAAGACTCACATCATAGTACATGTAAAATGTATATTTTGCTTCCTTGCGATTCTTTT